TCACCCTCTCTCCCTCTTTCTTTCTCAGTGTAAATCTGCCTTTCAAATAGAGCTAAATAATTTTTTAAACAAAAGCTCAAATGTAGTCGAAAGATGGCAATAATTTAAAAAGTAATCAGACTTATATTTTGGTTTCTGTTCTCTCCACCCATATATTGTACTATTTTTCTTCTTTCATAAAATATTCTAGCATTGCTAGCTTTTTTTCAGTGTTTTAGTTTTTAAAGAATTTATTTATTTGTGAAGCAGGGAGATGGAGAGAGAAAGCAAGTGAGCTTACATTCTCTGGTGCATTCCCCCAGGTGCCCACATTCTACAAGGGAGCAGGAACTGAGAGCTGGGAACTCAATCCAGGTTCCCGCCAAAGATTACAGGAGAGGAATGATTACATGAACCATCACCTGCCGCCTCCCAGGGAATGCAATAGCAGGAAGGAAGCTGGACTCCAGAGTTGAGCCTGGGATAGGGCAAGCTGCCTCCTGGGAAGTTGGCAGCTTTTGTAGATGCTGCTTTATGTCCTGGCTGCTCCACTTCTGATCTGGCCGTGTGCTAATGGTCTGGGAAAAGCAGCACAAGATGGCCTAAGCCCTTGGTTCCTTGTCATCCAAGTTGGAGACCCCAATGAAACTCCTGGCTCCAGTCCAGCCTTGTCCATGGAAACCTTTTGGAAAGTGAACCAGCAGAGTCGGGTTTCTGTGTGTGTCTTCTTCTAATTTTTAGATAAATAAATAAATGTTTCAAAACAAAACAAAACAATAACAAGAGATGAGCCAGCATCCTAGTCCAGGTCACTCAGCACTTCATGTGCTGTGAATATGCAAGTCACATTTTTTTTAAGTTTTATTTGTTTGAAAGTCACTGAGCCACCTTCTTTCTGCTGGTTCACTCCCCAGCTGGCTGCAACAGCCAGCGTGAGCTATGCCAAAACCAGGAGCCGGGAGCTTCATCCAGTTCTACCACAGAGCTAGCAAGGGCTCAAGCAATTGGACCAATCAGTGCTGTTTTTCTCAGGCCATTAGCAGGAAGTGGTATTGTAGGTGGAGCAGCTGGGACTGAACCTGCACTCCTGCTGGGATGCCAGCATTGCAGGATTGCAGTTGGCAGCTTAACCCAGTTATGCCACAATGCAGGCCACTCCAAGTGTCATCTTAACCACTAAGCTGTACCAGCCTACCAACTTTAGGGGGAAATATATATATATTTATATATATATATATTTATTTATATATATATGTTTATTATATATATATATATATATATATATATATTTGAAAGACCAGTCATAGGGAAAAGGAAAGACACAGAAGGACATATCTTCCATCTCCTGGTTCACTCTACAAAGTCCCCAAATACCCACAAGGGCCAGACTGGGCCATGCTAAAGCCAGGAGCTCCATCCGGGTGCTGTGTGGATGGCAGAGGCCCAAGCACTTGAGCCAGCTTTCCTAGTCATCTTTGGCTGCTTTCCCAGGTGCCTTAGCAAGGAGCTTTGACCAGCCTCTTTAATTCCTCAGACAATGCAGTGCCATTCCTAGTTAGAAATCTTTGCATAGCTCAGTTCTCACTGCCTGGAACCAACTTTCCTTATTTTTTTGGAATTGTCACTTTTTCTCCTCATTCAATATTCACCCATAGGCATTAATGTCCTTGGAGAGACTTTCTGACAGCCGTCTTCCCACACCCCAGACCTTCTGTTTTCATTACTTATTTTACTTCCTCTATTACACATCAGCATAACTTTAGTTTTTTAAGTTCGTTCATCCAACATTTGTCTTCCAAAGTGAAATGAATGCACTGTGAGAAGTACAGTTGAATTTGCTTTATGTATCTTGGAACATTGCCTCATATTTAATAAGAGATCAGGAAACATTTGTAGATATTTGTGAGTGAACGGATGAATGAATTAATCGGTAGTATTGGTTCACAAGATTAACATTTATGCTAAAGCAACGTGTGTTCATTCCTAACTAGCAAATGGGCATACTTCTTGTTCTTTAGTACTGACTTCTATTTGGCCAATTCAAGAAAATCTTAACTGTCTTTTGAAAAAATATTTCTTTGCCGAAGTAAGGCAGTAAATGTCATGATTTAAGTGAAAAAAAAGTTGCATTTGCTGGCTTCCACCTGGTCAGGCTCTGACCCCCTGTGGGGCATTTTCTGCAGAGTATTATTTACCCAGCATTGCAGAGTACTTGAGTGACTACATCCTTTTACCATTCAAGAAATAAGCCATTTATTTTTATAAAATTATCTTAATAACTCTGAGGAATGAAATGCATCTTAAGAACTGACACGCCCACAGGAGCCCTGTGTTGTGTTCCTGGCTCCAGCTCCAGCCTGGCTCAGTTCCAGCGAGCACAGGCATCTGGGGAATGAACTAGCTGATGAAAACACAACTACACTTTCTCTCTTTTCGTTTCTCTAAATCTCAAATTCAAACAAACAAAAAACAGAAAGGAAAGGAAAAAAAATTCTCAGGAGGAAAATATTCATCAATATATACTAATAAGAATATTTATAAACACTTTCCTAAAAATATACATGTTTTTCTCTGAGTACAGGTGAAATGGCATTATTAGGCTCCCCAGTGATTATCTTCCTGCATTTTTTTTCTTACAGAATGTAGGTTATAGGGGTTGCCATGGAGGTGCAGAATGTTAAGCCATTGCTTGAGATGTTGGCAGCCCATACTGAGGCGCTTGTTGAAGTCCAGCTGGTCTGCTTCTGACCCGCACGCTGCCAATACAGCTCAAGATGATCCAAGCACTTGGGTGATGGAGCAGGATGGAGTTCTGGCTCTGGTTTCCCCAGAACTGGCTTTTGTGATCATCTGAGGTGACAAGCAGTGAAGTGGGAATCTCTCATGGGCACCCTCATTCTGCCTTTCGGATAAATAAATATTTAAGAATGGATAATCTGGGTCTTATACGCTAACTGTCAGGGTACAACATCAACATTTCTACAGAAAAATATTCATTTTAGGTGTTCATGAATATTACAATTTATTTCTTCTTCAGGATCATTAAAAATGACCTCTTTGGCAAGTTATTTAACAGACTAGATATTGATTTGTTGTTTAGTATTTTCAATTTGATTTGAGGAGGTTATTAAGAATGTAAGAGACCTGTTTTCTCTTAGAAATATGTTATTTGCCAAATCCTCTTAATGAAATTTTTGGAAGAGCTTTTATGTGATAGAATGAAGACACCTTATTTATATATATGATAACTTATTGCAAGGATATTGAGAATGGAGTGACTAACTAGGTTTTCTATCTTTTGTATAATGGAGCCAAAATTTGTGAGCAAAATGTGGAAAATGTATTTATGGAAAATAAATAAGTATAGAAAATGTATCTATTTATTTGAAAGACAAAGTGGCAAAAAGAGACAGAGAGAGATCTTCCATTCACTAGTTCATTCCCCAAATGGCTGCATCCATTGAACTTGGCCAGCTTGAAGCCCAGAACCTTGAACTTTACCTGGCTCTCTCCCCTCTTGGGTGGCAGGGGCCAGCCATGTGGGCCATGTTCTATTGACTTGCTGTGCATGTTAGCAGGCAGCTGTAGAGTACCTGGCACTTGAACCCACACACAGATGGTGGCTCAACTCACCATTCCAGGCCCTAGAGACCTTTGTGATTTTATATTTTTAATCTTATGTGCAGTTCATCTCCTTAGGTTTGCATTTTTATCTGTTCTGCTTTGTTTTAGCCACTATCCTCATGCTCTCCTTCATTGCTCCCTGAATATTCTCTGGAATTTAGCTGTGAGTGGTAAACGAATGAGCAACCAAGTAAGAGAGCATCCCTACGAAAGCCAAAAGGCAGTGCTTCGATGAGTAGGTCCTGTCTCTCCCTTAGTAGTCACATTTGAACAGGGAGTGAGAGTGTAAGCTACTGTGTAATAAAAAAGGTGTTTGCTCTACATGACGGTGAATATCCTTTCATTAAAGAATGTTTTACAAATGCTCTTTCAACATATATCTAGTTCAGATAGTATCTAAAATAACTTCTTTGTGGAGTCTACCCGTCTTTCATTTTTTTTTTGCTGAGGACATTCTGGTGTCTCTAAAAACTGTTTATTCTAAATGTCTACTGTGTTAAATATTTGTGAAGCAAGTTTATGTCATGAACTTCCTCATTTACTTCCTTTATTCTAGTCTTTTTAAAAGTGTTCTTATTTTGGAGATTGTTACAGTTCGAATTTAGAAGTACTGAGATAATAAAAATGAGTGTAGTGGATTCTGTGTTCTGCCCTGGACCGAGTGATGTGTCTCTACCTTGCACCACCCAGTGTGTCTGTACACCAAAAAAAAAAAGTTACCTTTTCTTTTTTTCTGAAATTGCAGTTTAGGATTTCTCAGAGAAATGTTATATTTTCCAAAGCTGTTATTAAGATTGATCAAACGTTTAGCTTTAAGTTTTCATTAATTTAATTATTTGACAAATTACTATGTACAAAGGAAGGTAGGTGGACATGAGTCATTGAAAAAGCAGCTGGAGATAACTTATTGAAGAACTGACTTCTCAACATATTGTCTTCTAAAGAATGTCTGCCATTTAAAAAAAATTTTAAATAATTTTTTTTGAAAGAGAGAAAGAGAGAGAGCACAAGAGAACATACACCCAGCCAGTGGTTTTCTCCAAACTGGCTAGAATGGCTAGGGCTGAGCCAGTTCAAATCCCAATTCTTACCAGTCTCCCATGCAAGTGGAAGGGGCCCAAGCAGTCTGGCCATCTTCGATTGCTTTTCCTCTGCCGTTCATTAGCAGGGAGCCAGACTGGAAACGGAACATCAGAGGCAGACATTGGTGCTCTTCTGGGATGCTAGTGTTGCCAGCAGTGGCTTTACCTGCTTTGCCATAATGCCAGTTCTACTTGTGCTTTTTGTACTTTATTTTTAAGTTGCTCCATGCTTTGAAATCTAGAGTTGTTTTTTTGTTTTTGTTTTTTTTTTTTTAAGTTGCAATGTTTCATTGGAAATCTTTGTCTCATCTACAGGTTTTTGGAAATGCCCCACCAAATACAATGACAGAAAAATTTTCTGATCTTCTGCAGTTCACAACACAAGTCTCTCGACTAATGGTGACAGAGATTCGAAGGAGAGCATCCAACAAATCCACAGGTATTTCTATAGAAGCCAGTGGGAATGGGCAGACAGTTCAAAGCAAGTAAGAAATACACGCAAGTGCTTAAGCACACGGATTTGCTCCTGCTCCACCTCTCTATTCCTACCGTTGTTTTCAGCAGCTTCCTCTTGGAGTAGCTATACTGGGGCTGCTGTGCCTGGGCCACCCTTATATCCTCCCAGTTCCTTTCTGAGAAAGACATGCTTTAGCACGAGGTGGGAGGCAAACCTGTTTTCTGGCCATATGAAGTTTTTTTTAGAATACTTTCTTTTAATCTTTTGATTTTCTTTCTCCCTGTATTTCAGCAAAACTGAGCTGTTTATAGCCCAAACACGGCAGTCCTTCTGATTCTTTACAAATCTTTCATCCAGGAAGAATAATCTTCCTCTTAATGTCTAAATCTCAGCTAAGATGAAGTCATGCTTCTTTGATGGCGAGTTTTTTGATTACTTTAGTAAAATAAACATCCTCCTCTACTCCAGACTCCTGTTTTCTTTGTCAACTTCCCGGGTGATAGTGTGTGTGTGTCTTTATTATCCTCTCAGACTTTAAGCAGCTTAGGGGTCTTCAGTGTCATCTGTAGTGGTTTTTATCTGTGCTGGCTACATGGCTTTTATTCTTATGTCTCCATTCACGTCCACCTAGGATGCATCCTCTTTCTAAAACATGTGTGACTTTTAAAGTTTATTTTTAATTCTTAAATTAACTTTCTTATTTGGTAAAGTATCTTTTTTTAGCCTTTTACTGAAAAAGATTTCGGGAGAGTTACCATTTTTAATTCTTGGCTCTGGCCAAGAAAAGAGTGTTCTTCCTTCTTCCCTGAGGCAAGTGATATCCATTAGTTTGATGACCTATCTATCAGATGATCAGAGTTTAGAATAAACACCATTATTTCTGATACATGCTATATTGTGGAAAGGGACACGTGCCCGAACCTGAGTCAGCTGGAGAAAAGAGAATGAAGGTTCACCACTCTGATTTTTTGCAGACAGGTGTGCCGAGGAGACCTGCGGAACCTGCCAACATTGAGGGGCAGCAAAGCCTCCACTCTTCATCCCAGCCCTTTGAAGAAGTTGGCTCTATGGGAAAATGCATAACCACTGTTGAGCCTTGTATGGAGGACTTAGAGGAGCTGTTTGAGAACCCTAATCCTCCCTGCAGTTAGGAAGCTCTCCTTCCTGGGCAGTCAAGCCACCAGGTTCAGGTTGGGTTGAGCTGGACATTGGGCTCCCGAGAGGGGACACGGTCAGTGTAGGTGTCTGGACTGGGCCGGTTCCTTCTGCCGGAAGCCCATGATGAGGATGAAAGGCCATTTTGGAGAATTTTATAGCTTGCAACACATCACTCCTTCTTTGAGTGAGTACTGGCTTCTAGGTCAGAAATAATTTTATTTCATGATTTTAAAAATTGTTTCTCCATCATATTCTAGATCCTTATGCTGCTGTGAGCCATCTAAAGTTATTTAGACTCTTGATTCTTTCTCTGTGAGCTGTGTTTTTCTCTAGAAGCTTTCGGGGTCAAATGTTTGTCCCTTTTATTCTAAAATTGTATGCAACTGTGTCATGTGACATACCGGTTTATATGTATACATTATGCTAGGTACTCACTGGAGCCTTTTGGTTTGGGAATGTGTCTTGAACATTGGACAACTTTCATGAATTATTTGATGATATCCTCCCTCTGTTTACTCTTTCTAGTCAGATGCTTCTGTTTAGAGTGTCCTTTTGTTTTCTTAAACTCTTCTTTTTCTTTGTTTTTTTAGCTGCTGGCTGAACTCTTCAGCTTTATCATCCACCCCGTCTATGAAGTTTTATTCATTTGTGATATTGTAGTTTCCACGTCTAAGTGTTTTCTCTGTCTCTCAGGGAGGAAGTCTGTGTTTTTTAAGGGAAACATTTGCTTGTGTCTCCGAGGTGTTTCAGATTTCCATCTCTAAATAATGTGCATCTTTCATGTTTAATAAATGACATCTTTATTATTTTGTGTTTGTTTCTTTTATGTTAGAAAATGTCCTGTTATGTCTCATCCTTGGCCATCTGCCCTAATATAAGAATGGCACATTAAAATGCTAATGGATAGCTTTTTAAAATTGTGAACAGAGTTTGCAACTATGGGCACTTATTTGTAGTGTTTTTCCCTGAGCGAGGCAGATTCCCCAAAGCATTGTCCAGTCTCTGCTCGAAATATATATTCCTGATTCTGAGAATTTGGGAAATCAAGGACAAAAATGTTTTGGGACCTGTAACATTCAGTGTTTAAACTTCTGCTTTATTTCTTTGTGCAGACTCCTTGCAAGGTATCCTCCACTGCACAGCCGCAGTGCGGTGTTCCTGTAAGAGCGGGATCTGAATGCTCTTACGCCGACTTGCCAACAGTCAGTCCTCTCCAGTGTAGTCAGTCCCACATTTACCTCTGCTTCCAAAGATATCCATGCCGACAATTCCTGAGCCTCTTGGGAATTTATGGTAATCTGGATATGAATGCAGAAGTGAGATTCATGGTAAATTTAAAGCAAGTACAAGGAGTGCAGAAAAAGAACCAGATTACCGTTGCCGTGCTCTTTGTTCCTTTGCTCTTACAAATTTATACTTTTACAAAAAAAAAATCTGTTCACATCGATCTTAGTGAGTATATGAATAGGAGCTGTGTGCTTGACCTGCTCTAGCAAATTCTCCCCCAGATGGGTAGAAATTCATCTTCTCAGTTTTGGAGGCTGAAGTCCAAAACAAGGGTGCCAGCAACATTGAATTTCTTGTGACGGCACTGTCCTCGACTTGTAGGCTGCCGCCCTCTTGTTCTGTGCTTGCACGGAGGAAAGAGAAACAGCAAGCTCTGCTGTCTTTTCTTAAAGGACACAAATCCCTTTGTCACCCTCTAGGCCTCACCTAAAAAAATTGCCTTCCAAAGAATCCATCTTCAAAAACCACCATGATTTGAATTAGGGCTTCAAAACGGTCCACAACAGTTGTGTTACAGGAGAGAGTGGAGATAACTATACAGTCTTTGGAGCAATAGATAAGAAAATGTTTTGAGGACAACAATTAAACCCCTGTTTCAAAAGTAATATTGTACATATTAGTTTTTGGTTGTTACAGCAAAATACCTGTCAGAAGCCACTTAAGGAAGAAAGGAGGTAAATTTTGGCCGACAGTTTTGGAGATTAAGAGTCCAAGATTGAGTCATCCCATTGGTTGAGCATCTGGATGGGTAACTTACTAAAACTCCTGAGGTGCCACAGATAAGAAATGTGTGTCTTATGTCACCACTGTCAATTGATTGTAAAGGGGTGCACTCAGCTGGGGCTCCACTCAACCTAATTCAATGTCATGACTTCCTGAAGTACTCACCTCTCAACCACTTACATCTCTACCTTCCAAGTACTTTGAGCATCTGACTTTGGGAAATTCAAACTTTAACATGTAGACTGAGGGACACACACAGTCCAAATCATAGAATCAAATATTACATTAATTGATAAGTTTAAAATGGATGCTTTTCATCATATTTGCAGTCTTTCAAATAAATCTAATGAAAAGTAATTAAATGAGCTATCTCTTGTTGTGTTCTCCCCTCTTCATCCAAGCAATGGTGATGTAGAGGGGTGCGGTTTGCTCCCTAAGTGGGCACAACAGCAGAGGCCTGGCAGGCCAAATCCAGGAGCTTACTCAGGTTCCCCTATGTGTGTGCCAGGAACCAGGACCCTTGGGCTATCTTCTATTGCTTTTGCAGATTGGATCTGGAGCCACTGGGACTTGAACTGGAATACATATGTTGTCTCAGTCAGAGGCTTAACCCCATAGGCCACCACACTGGCCCCTGTAGTTATATTTTAAAATACTTAATCTGCATATTATAAAAAGGTATTTTACTACGCTAGGAATTTGTTTTCCTAATTCCCTTTATGAGTTTACATCCATATGGCAATTTTTTTTAAAGGTAGACTAAACTTTTACATATGGTATATCATTGTTAAAGTGCTAAAGTGTTTTTTAACTGTACATGTTGAAATAATCCAAGCTCATAGGAGGTTGTAAGGATGTTACAGTAGTGTTGTATGCTTCTCATACGTCTTCCCCCATTGATGACATGATTGCTAAGCTGTATTTTTATGTATAGTGCAATTCTGTATACTTTTTAAACTTCTGAAATGTGTTAGAATCATATGAGAGTCAGTTCCGGTTTTGTGTTATCTCCTCATGAGAATCTCCCCTGCTCACCCTAACTAATTTTTGCCTCTCACATCCCCATCTCCTTTTCTTCTTCCTTTTTTCTTTCTTTCTTTTTTTTTTAAACTTTAAGAATTGAAGTAATGTTGAACAGCCCTTACTTTTAGACAGGAGTATAATTCTACAGTATCTCCTCCATCAGCATTAAAGACCTCTGGCTGTGAGAATTCTGGTTTTCTTTCATTTTAAGTCTTGAACATTGAAAGATTCTTTCTTGTGTGATAGTTAATGTTGTTCATGATACAGTTCCGTAGGCACAGGGATTCCCCTCATCTACCTTCCCTTCCTCATTCTTCCTCCCCACTGCTTCCCCCATGTTATTAGAATGGTATAGCCTTCAGCAACAGTCATAAACCCAACATTCTGCTAGTTAAATGTATCCTATGCACACTTAAATACATCTGCCTTTATATTTATTGAGCATGTACTTTGCTTTATATCAGACAGAACAGAAGATATTTCTCCTTTTGAAACCAGCTAGTTTCACTAAGCATAATGATCTCTAGTTGATACCATTTGTTGCTAATGGTAGCATTTTATTCTTCTTAATGACTGAGTAGTACTCCCTGGAGCAGATGTACCACACTTTGTTTATGCATTCATTCCTCTTTTCAGTGGGCATCCAGGTTGTTTCTATGTCTTTACTGTTGTAGATTGTGCTGCTGTAAATATAGGGTTGCAGGTTATTTTCTTACATGCAGATTTCATTTCCTTTAGATATATTCCCACAAGTGAGATAGCTGGGTCACACAACGGATCAATTTTCAGTT